GTGTAGAGGAAAGCTATTGATTTTTGTGTGTTGACCTTGTATCCAGGTTCTTTACTGAATTTGGTTATTAAGTCTAGAAGACTTTTGGTGGAGTTCTTGGGGTCTTCTATGAAGAAAGAGTATCATATCGTCTGGAAAGAATGACAATTTGACTTCTTCATTTCCTATCTTTATTCCTTTTATTTCTTCCCCTTGCCTAATTGCTGTGGCTAATGTTTCCAAAACTATATTGAACAGGAGTGATAGTGGACATCCTTGCCTTGTTCCTGATTTTATTGTGAAGAATTTCAGTATTTGACCATTTAGTATGATATTGGCTGTTCGTTTTTCATACATGGCTTTTATCAGATTTAGGTAGAGACTGTCTGTTCCAATTTTTTTAGGGTTTTTATCATAAATGCATGTTGGATTTTGTCGAATGCTTTTTCTGCATCTATTGAGATGATCATATGGTTTTTGTCCTTGGCTCTATTGATATAGTGTATTCATTGAGTAATTTGCGTATGTTGAATCACCCCTGCATCCCTGGGATGAATCCCACTTGATCAGGGTGTATGATCTTCTTGACGATCTTCTGCATTCTATTTGCCAGTATCTTATGAAGGACTTTTGCATCTGTGTTCATTAGTGAGATTGGCCTATAGTTCTTTTTTCACTTGGGTCTTTCTCTGCTTTGGAGGTCAAGGTGATACTTGCTTCCAGGAATGAACTCAGGAGTATTGCTTCCCTTTCAATTTCATTGAAGAGTTTAAACATTAGTGGCAGTAGTTCCTCTTTAAATGTCTTGTAGAATTCAGCGGTGAAGGCATCAGGACCTGGGCTTTTCTTAGTTGGTAAGTTTTTAATTATGTGTTCAATTTCATTGATTGATATTGGGTTATTTAGAAATTTTAGGTCTTCTTCGTTCAACTTTGGTAATTCATATGTATCTAGGAATCTGTCCATTTTTTCTGTCTTCCATCTTATTGGTGTACAGGTTCTCCAAGTAGGTATTGATGATCCTCTGGATTCTGCTAGGTCCATTGTAATTTCATTCTTTTCATTCCTATTTGCATGGATTTGGGCCTTTTCTTTCCTTTTATTGATAAATTTGGCTAAGGGTTTGTCAATTTTGTTTATTCTTTCAAAGAACCAACTCGGCTTCATTGACTTTTTGCATTGTTCTCTTAGTCTCCATTGCATTGATTTCTGCTCTGATTTTTATAATTTCCTCCCTTGTATGAGCTTTGGGCTTTTCCTGCTCTTCATCACCCTATGGCCTGATAATATACAGGGGATAACTTCAATTCCTTTGCACTTCCTTCAACATGTTCTATGACTGAGTATGTGGTCTATTTTGGAGAATGACCTGTGTGCAGCTGAAAAGAATGTATATTCTAATTTTGTGGGGTGGAACACTCTGTAAATATCTGTTAAGTTCATTTGTTCAAGAGTTTGATTGAGTTCTAGTATTTTGTTGTTTATTTTTTGTCTAGTTGATCTATCTATTTGTGACAGTGGGGTATTGTGCTTATTTGATTTTTCATGTCCATTAGTATTTGTTTTATATACTTGGGCACACTAGTGTTCAGCACATATATGTTTACGATTGTCATCTCTTCCTGTTGGATTGTTCCCTTTACAAGGATGTACTGTCCTTCTTTGTCTCTCTTAATCAGTTTTGGTTTGCAATCCACTTGATATGCAAAGAAGATAGCTACTCCTGCTTTTTTTCAGGTTCCTATTGCATGGAGTATTGTTTTCGACTCTTTAACTTTCAGTCTATGAGTTTCTTTTTGAATTAAGTGTGTTTCTTGTATGCAGCATATTGTTGGATCTTGCTTCCTGACCAATTCTGCCAGTCTATTTCTTTTGACTGGTAAATTGAGACCATTAACATTCATGGTTATAAGTGATACTTATTGACTAATCATTGTCATGACTTTTTCTTTTTGTTGGATTCTCCCCCTTTGTGTTTAATTTCTTGTTGCACTTGATGGATTGGTTCTGCTGGGTTTCCTGGGACGGTAATCCTCATTGTCTTTTCATAGGATATTGTCTAAAATTTTTTGGAGTGCTGGTTTTGTATTCATGAGTTTCCTAAGGCACTCTTTGTCATGAAAGTATCTTATTTCTCCATCAATTTTGAAAGATAATTTTGCAGGGTACATCAATCTGGTTCGAGGCTGTTTTCCTTTAGGGCTTGGAATACATCACTCCAAGCTCTTCTTGCTTTGTGGGTTTGCATTGAGAAGTCTGCTGTGATTCTGATGGGCTTTCCTTTGTATGTGATTTGTTTCTTATCTCTCACTGCTTGTAGAATTTTGTTCTTCCATTGGGTTTCTGGAATCTTAACTATTATATGCCTCTGTGTAGATTTTTTTTGATCAAGGGTAGTTGGAGACCTATATGCCTCACTTATCTGTATGTCAAATTCTTTTCCCCTGCTTGGGAAGTTTTCTGCCATTACTTCTGTGAACAATTTTTTTTATGTCGTCTGCCCTCTCTCCTGTTTCTTCATTGACTCTGATCAGTCCTATGTTATTCTTCTTTGCATTGTCTAGCAGCTGCTGGATTGATTTCTCGTGGTCCCTTACTATTTTAAAGAAATTTTTATTTTCCTGGTCACTAAATACAATCTTATCTTCTGTATCTGAAATTCTGTCCTCATTTTGGCTCATTCTGCTGCATAAACTTTCAATGCAGTTTTTCATCTCCTTGAAATCTGTTTGCATCTGTTTTATGGATTCCATTTGTTTCCTATGTTGGGATTCTATCATGTTCCTCAGCTCCTTTATTTTTTCCATATCCTCTTTCATTGCCAGTTCAGGGAGTCTAGGTGGTTGAGTATCAGATTGTTCCATCTCATTTAGATGATAAATTTCTAATGCTGGTACCATTCTCCATTGTGTTTGGGAAAAGAATTCTGTATGTTACAACTAAAGGATCTTAATATATAGTGGCAAAATAAACCACACTGAAATGGGTAATATCAAGACAGAAGGCATTCACACTGTGAGAATATGTTATTTAAGACATGGTTCTTACCTTTGTAGACTATCATTTATAATCAGTCTAGGAAGGGGGAGAAGATATAAATAGTTTAAGTTATATATTCTTTAATAATATAATAAACAAATTATTAAATGTCATGTTTGAAATATCAATCAGATAGTCAGCTGGAAATGTTTGGTAGGCAGTAGACACTGGCTACTAAAGGAACAGAAGCCAGAAATACAGGTTTAGAATAGAAATGGAAACTGTAGCCATCAGTAGTCAAATTTGTTAGAAGATGAAGCATATAAACCACAAGGGACCAAGAATGCCATCAAAGAGAGTGCCCATATTGAGGTTTGAAAAAAGTGATCCAATGCAATTGGCAATGATGGAAGATTCAAAAAGGAAGAAGAACGTCTAAAGACTATCATGTCTTATGTGCCAGTGAGTGAAATGTTTGATGAAGAAAGAGGTGGTCTAAGTGTCCGATGCTGCAGATGCATTTGTAAAAGAGGGCAGAAAGATCAAGTTAATGTGTTATCTGAAAGTCTATAACTCATCTTTGACAGATCTATTGACATAAAGTAGTCACAGCAGATGCAGGGCAAAGAATGAGAGTGTTGTGAAAGCAGAGACAGCAAGTTTGAGAATGAGAGAGTAGAGCTAATTCGTAAATACAGACTTGTATTTTAAGGTCAAATTGTAAAGAAGCAAGATGGAAAATAGCTCAACTTGTAGCAAAGTCAAAGAAAGATTATTTGGGTTTTGTTGTTTTTAGGATGGAGAAATAAAGTTTTTAGGCAAAGGAGCTAGAATTTAGTAAGTGGGAAATGAGAGGGCAGAATTTTTTTTTAAAAGTATGAGAAAATGGAATTAAGACCACAAGCTTGGAAGAATACAGGCACCCTTTCAAGTTGGGAAGCCAGTGGTGCACAAGATAGCATAGAGGAGTGCTGAGGTACAGAGACATGAGGTGAATCTTTATTTTATCAAGCTTTGAAGAGTGCAAGTCATAAAGAGTGCTCTTCCTAAGTGTCACACAGTTGATTTCAAATGATGGGCATGGGGGCACATTTGGGACCACAGCTAGAAATTCCACAGTAGAGCAGTTGGAAGAGACATAGCCCTAGAGATAGGAATCAGGTCCATGAGCCTTCATGTTATCATATCCTTCTATAGAAACATAAACTCAATAGAAAAAAATACATAACAAGTATAAAGCACATTTTTGGCCATCCATATGATAGACTATTATACAAATGAAAATCATGATTTGGAGAAATATTTTATAGCTTAGGAAAAAGCTTAACATAAATTTAGTGGGCCACAGTAGAACATAAGTTTCTGTGAATAAGTTAAAAATTATAAGCAAGAAATATATCAAAATTTTAATGTTGTTATCTGTAGGTGGTGAAATTACGGGAAAACAAATATTGCAAAGGAATCTAATCAGTCTAAAAAGGCAAGCTATCAAGGAGTTAGAGAAGTGAGATCACCAAAGGAGAAGAGAGCCTTACCGCAGATGAGCAAATATTGCCCAGTATTTATTTAATCCTTTTGTCTAAAATGTAGTTAGGCAGGCACCTGTTCAACTGCAACAGAAGCTAAGGCAGAAGGAACTTCTTATAAGATGTCCCAAGAATCAAATGTCCCAAAATACCATTTCATTCATGAGCATTTATCAGAGCAACATTACATTTTTGCTCTTATTTGACTGCTGACACCATGTAATTGTTATCCCTTGAAAAGCAAAGAAGTAAAGCACTGTCTCATATAGTGAAAACATTCAGTATTTGTAGTCATCTCATTTTCTGTTACATATCTATTGAGAAATAAGAAATATTATCTCTTTTAGAAGTTGAAGTGTGCTTCCAAAATATGTGATCTTATTTCAAATGCAACCCGAAAAATCAGTAAACTATGGACCCCAGAACTACAAATAAAATGTTATTGAAACACAACCGTATGCCTTTATTTTGGTATTGTTTATGGCTGTCTTCTTGCTATAGAGACAAAACTCTAGTTAAGAAGACAGAAACATTAAAGTTTATATATTTAAAATGCATACTATCTGGTCCTTTAAAGAAAAGGTTTCCCCAAATCTATACTTTCCAATTTTTAAATGCCATATGCTTTTCATAAAGTTTTTGTCGTTGTTGCCATTAAGCAACAAATTAATCATTCCTTTGTCTTAATTATCATTATGTGAAATATCCACTTGGATTTGCTAATTGTTTTAGGTTACCAGCAAGCTAGTTCATCATACAAGGCTAAAATGGCCGAGGCCGGAGGATTGGCAAAAACAATGGTTCAGTCAATGACTTTGCTTGAAAATCAACTCATTGAGAAACTTTGGGTACTTAAAGTTCTGCAACATCTCTCAACTTCTGGTTTGTATCCTGTTATTAAATTTGAACACCTCATTGTCAATTATTTTTGTTTCCATCTAATAACATTAAGGCTATATAACATAAATAATTTTTAACGTTTATTTTTAGAAGTTAATTGTACTTTAATGGTGAAAGCACAAGCAGCCAGCAAAATCTGTGCTGACCTCAATGACCCAGATCCCTCTGGACAGCTTCTGTTTCGTTCAACAGAAATACTTTGGAACTTATTGGAAAAGTCTCCCAAAGAGGAAATCATACAACAGCTTAGTACCATGGAATGTTTAGTGTAAGTATATGTGACTGAATAGAAATGTCTTTTAACCTTAAAAAAAAAAAGTAGCCAGAGATATAACTGACATCTTTGTTTGAAGCTGTATTCAATTAGATGTTTGATTTGTACTCTGGCTATGTTTCAGGAAATTTTTGTATGTGTGCTATCTTATAACTGGATCTCCAAAGGCAGAAGCTATGCTTTTCTGTGTAGAAGCCTCTTAAAATAGCCTGTTAAGGTTAAATTATGCCTCTGCATTGTATAAAGTAAAATTAGACATTTAGAAGAACTATTCTATTTATTGAGTAAATTTCTTGTAGAGGACTTACTGTCTTCCAGATACTTCAAGAAAAATTAGCAACAACAGAATATAAAATCAATAATAAGTAGCTTTTCTATACACAAATAATAGACTAGCTAAGAAATAAATCAGGAAAACAATTCTATTCACAATAGCTTCAAAAAGTATAATACCTAGGGATCAATCTAAGAAAGGAAATGAAAGACCTCTTCAATGAAAATTTCAGAACACTGAAGACAGAAATTGAAAGAAGACACTAGAAGATGGAAAGACCTCCCATGTTCACGGATTGGTAGAGTTAATATTGTCAAAATGGCCAATTCTCAAAAGCAATATACAGAATCAATGCAGTCCCTATCAATATTCCAGTGACATTCATCATACAAGTTGAGAAAACAATTACAAAATCCATATGGAAACATAAAAGAACAGCCAAAGCAATCCTAAGCAAAAAGCTAGGCTGGAGGCATCACAATACCCAATCTAAAATTATACTACAGATCCATAGTATCAAAAACAGTATGGCACTGGCATAAAAATTAAAATGTAGATGAATAAAACAAAATAGAGATCACAGAAATAAGCCATGCAACCACAGCCATCTGATTCTGGACAAAGTAGCCAAAAATATATGTTGGAGAAAACAACCTCTTTAACAAATGGTGCTGAGAAATTGGATATCCACTTGTAGAAGATTGAAAGCAGATCACAAAAACTGATTTAAACTGGATCAAAGACTTAGTTATAGCCTGAAATTTTGCAACTGCTAAAAGAAAACATAGAGGAAATATGTGAAGCCATAGACACAGGCAAACACTTCCTGAATAAGACTGTGATGGCACAGTATATAAAGAACTCAAAAAACTTAAGACCAGAAATTCAAATAACCCAATAAATAAATGGGCAAATGAACTGAACAAACATTTCTAAAAAAAAAAAGTAAAAATGTTCAATAACCGTATGAAAAAATGTTTTAACATCTTTAGCCGTTAGGAAAATTCAAATCAAAACCACACTGAGATTGCATCTTACCCAAGTCAGAATGGCTGTCATCAAGAATACAAACTAAAGAAATATATAGGGACTATAAATCAGTACAGCCACTATGGAAATCAGGATGGAGGTTCCTCAGAAATCTAACAATAGAACTACCATTTGACCCAGCTCTGTCTCTCCTATATACTTGAAGGAATTAAAGTCAGCACACTACAGTAATATCTACATGCCCATGTGCATTCACAATAGCCAAAATATGGAACCAACCTATGATGAATGAATAAAGCAACAAGGGACCTTAACAGCATCTTTCTCCCCCTTTTATCCCATCCAGACTACCTAGGATTGGGGCAGTGCCAAACTAGTCACTCAGGTGTAGTGGTTTAGTAATCACAAACCCTTAATCCCAGCATCACACATTCCAGATTCAGCCACCTCTGGAAAAGAAAGCCCTACCTCATCCCCATGAGGCTTTGGGGGGACATCTAAACACAAGCCATAACATATGGTTTAAAAGAATACCTAAATAAAATATGGTTTTATTTTCTAGGACTCTGAAGGAAGTTTTTAAAAATCTGTTTATGAGAGGTTTTAGTCATTACGATCGCCAGCTTAGAAATGATATATTAGTGATCACTACAATTATAGCTCAAAACCTGGAAGCACCGATGATTGTAAGTATAAGTCAAATTTCATTAAATTGTGGAAGTGGTGGGCATGGGAGCAGGAAGTCCGAAATTATGTCATAACATTTATGTATTTATTTGTATTGCCAAGTTATGTTGTAATGTCATGATAGTCACCATTATACTTTCACTGTGCCCATCCTTTACATTCCTTTGCAAAGTTTCCATCCTCCTCATGTTTTCTCATTCACACACAGATCTACCGTTTGTGATGCTTTTCTTTCCTTCCTGTCCTGATAAGATGAGTCTCCATGTGGCACCATTTCTCTTTCCCTGGGAGAATTCCCTTTACCATTTCTTGTGATGCAAATATGCTGGCTGCTCTTAAGTCTTTGAGCTTTCTTTTATCTGAAAATATCTTTAATTCACATTCATTCTTAAAGTGTGTGTTCACTGAATATAGAATTCTAAGTTTAAAAATCTTTTTTAGCACTTTAAAGATTATGTTCCACTGTTTTCTGTCCTCCATTTTTTCTGATGAGAACTATCTATTATTTCAAATTGTTGGTTCCCCATGTGCAACATATCATTTGTTACTCCGGCTATTTTTGAGATTTTTAGTCTACCTTTGGCTTCCAGCAGTTGTGCCAAGATGTGATTTCCTTCATATTTATATCTTTTGGGTTTTATGGAGCTCTTGGATATGTAAATTTAAGTCCTTAGCTAAATAGGGAGAATTTTTTGCCATTATTTCTTCAAATAGTTTTGAAACCCCATTCTCTCTCCTCTCTATTCTAGAACTCAAATTACTTGTGTGCTTGACATTTTGATATTGTCCCACAAGTTTGTAAGGCTCTGTTTACTTTCTTTAATCGTTTTCTATTATTAATTATATTCATGTATATATTTTTAAATCACTGACTCCTTTTTTTCTGTCTTCATTCTGTTACTAATCATATATTGTATATTTTTTATTTCAGATATATTTTTCAGTTTTATAATTTCCTTTTGGTTCCTTTTCATAGTTTCTGTTTGTCTACAGAGAGTTCCTATGTTGTCATTCAATATAAGCATCTTTACTCTGGGTTCTGATGTACTACTCTGAAGAGTATTTTTTTCTTTTTATCATTAAGCATTTAACTTGTCTAGACATCCATGTAGCAAAGACTTCAGATCGCAGTTCTGTTGTTCTTGTCCTACTGAGAACTCTCTGCACTTGTGTGATTCAGGCATGAGCCAGGGACTTGAGAAAAGTTTATACACAGAAATTGAGGTTCCTCCTCCATGGTTCTCTCCTGTAAGGGATTTCACCCCTTACTGTCCTGTGGCTATGGTTGTCTCCATTGTCTAACTCTTTGGACTACAAAGAGCTCAGGTTTACTCAGAATTTTAGTGTCCCCACAAGCTACAAAATAGTCCCTGCTCTCATTTTTTAAAGGGTAGAATGGAAATTTACATAGTGCCATTTGTATTTTTCAAAGTTCTCACTTATCTTCAGTATCTACTTGCTCTTGGCCATCAGATGGTTGATGGGGTTTGTTTGGGGGATTTTGTCTTGAGGTGTTTTGTTCTTGCTGTTGTTGTTCAGAGTTTACAGTTGTTGACTACATTTATCTTCTGGGAGCTACTCAGCCATACCAGAAGCTGAGCCTCTGCATATTTTATAATGTAAAAAAATCATTAAATGATCGAAATCCTAGAATAGAAATCTCTGCAACAATATTCATACATCAGCCATGTCCTTTCTAAAGTGTACTTCAAGGAATGGCCTTCAGTGCCCCAATTCTTTATCAGTGCATATCAAGTTGTCCCAACATCAAAGTGCTGGAATTCATACTGAGCAAATGGGAACAGTCCTACATAGCATCCTACTTAAGCCTGCAGTATAGGTGGAGCTTTATATTTACCTAGAAAGACCTGGGCAGTCAGTAAGTCCTCATCACTGTCCTTGAAAACATTCAACTGATTTCGCCAACACAACTCAACAGAGTAACATCCTAACATTTTAAAGAAGCCACATGGATCCTAAAGTAGTAGGAACACAAAGTTGTAAGCTCAGAAGGGTTTGGTCTTATTCATTTTCCCTAATCTACAAAGTCCCTCAAGGATATAAAGCAGGACTTAGAGAAAAATAAGTCCTTCGAAGCTTTGGGCAGTCCCCACCCCCACATCACCCCCCTCTCCTCTGTAACTGTAACTCCTGTTCTGGTACAAGTAAAATTGACAACTCTCTTCTGTAAACAAAGTTTATGACACTCTGTTCTCATATGATTCATAAGACACTGTCTTCTTTCAAGGCAAAGCTACAAAATTGTCTGCCCTTGTCCTTTTCCAGTAAATTCACTTGCTATATCACTAGAAAAACCACCCGCTTCAATAAAATGTATAAAAGCTGGCTGGAACTTCTCTTTGTTCAGTGCTCTTCCTTCGGACAGGAGTCCGCTGAGCCGGTGTACACCTTCAACCTGTAATAAAGTCCTCCTGTTTCAGTCTGTGGGTCTCTCCAGTCTCTTAGATTCCTGCAACAGATATATCTGTCAGGAATCAGTTCCCTCATGCTGAAATGTTTCCAAATTTGGTCATTCTTGAGGACTTTCCATATTAAGTAGAACTATTTTGTTATCTCTTAGCCAAACATTTCATATAATGAGAGGGCTTGGGGAAGGGTGGAGTTTTTAAAGTAGAAAACTATTGAATACAACTGGATTTTTCTCCCATATTATGTCACTTAAGGTATAGATAATGAACTACTGAAGTAACTGTATAGGCATAATATGTTTTGGGTTCTTACTAAATTTTAAACTGTATTCTGTAAAATATTTGTAGAATAATGTAAAATACTTCTTAGAACCTACAGAAGCAAATTGAAAATTAAGTAAAATACAAGTCTATCTATGTGCTTTTATTTTCTTACTTTCATTCCTTACTATTATTAGTAATTATAAATTTAAATGAATTACAGTACATAAATTTGATCCAAGAAGTAAATGATAGGTAAATATAAGCATCTTTGTCATAACTTCCATCCTAAATAATTCATCTTTCTGTATGTTTTGTGTGTTTATATTAGGAATGTGGCTTTACCAGAGATTTGATCCTATTTGCAACTTTTAATGAAGGTAAAAAAACATAAAACTTTAAGCTTCTGGTAATTGTCTTAATGTGTCTTGTATCTCATTTTATTTTAATTTTTTCTTCACAGTTAAGAGTCAAAACCCTTTGGTAAAAGGTCTTAAGCTTTCTAATTCCTATGAAGATTTTGAGTTGAAGAAATTGCTATTCAATATAATTGTGATCTTATGTAAAGATTTGCCTACTCTACAGGTAAAGAATAAACAAAATAAAAAATACAAGTCATCTTACTTTATAGTTTAACCTTTTTAAAGTCATGATTATTTCATCAATCCCATCTTTATTATAAAAAATAACAAACTAGGGCCAGGAATTTAGCTCAGTGGCACCGCACCTACCTTACAAGTGCAAGGTCCTGAGTTCGATCCCTGGTACTGCAAAAAAAAACCCCTCTTCTTGCCTTGAATTTCAGCATTTTAAAAAACTTGTACCAGACATAATGGGTCACACTTGTAATCGCAGCACATGGGAGGCTGAACCAGGAGGATCACTGTGAGTTTGAGACCAGCCTAGACTATATAGTGAGTTCAAGGCCAGCTTGAACTACATAGCAAGACCTTGTCTCAAAAAACAAAAAAACCCCAAAATTTTAATTTCCTTTTCTTATCTGTTAATAAACAATGAAATATATAAACTTAAACCACATAAATCAAAGAAAAACATCAGAAACTAGGAGATTTACTGATATATAGGTATTTAGAGCTCCTGAATAAGGTAACATTAAATGAAAGAAGTTCATGCAGGCCCATGCAACCTAACAGTCTATCTTTTATGATAATGGCAAGGGGTGATTTAATGCTGAAAGGAATTGTTAACCTGTGTCATTAATCTCAATCCCTTATGAACTAGCTTTTTCTTTTTTCTTCCTGATACTGGGGTTTGAACCCAGGGCCTCCATGCTGAGCTATGTCCCCAGACATTTTTCATTTTTTATTGTCAGACAAGTTCAGACTCAGTCACTAAGTTGGCCAGGCTGATCTTGAACTTTTGATCCTCCTGCCTCAGCTGCCCAGAATGCTGGGATTACAAGAATGTGTCACCACAACCAACTTGAACCCAATTTTTCTACACACAAACCTAATACCTGTAATGTTTTGATTAGTCATGGATTAACTTAGTACTTTATTTCCTATAGAACAGCATGATGAGATTTGAAGAACACTGGAAATGAATTTCACTTGGACTTACACTTCCTGAGGTTCAATTCTCCTCTGTAGGAGAAAGATCAGGACACATCTGCCTTGCTCACAGGGCTCTTGTGAGGTTGAGATGAAGATTTCATAAACTCTAAAGTGACAGAAAAATATATTACAATTCTATTAGCTTAGTTACTCACTGCCTTAATTAAAATTTCCTTTTAGTCCCAAAACTCTTTAAAGCTCTTTTTATTTTCATTAAAATGAAGGAGAATTCATTCTATCAATATCAATACTGATAATTTAAATGTGGTATAGTACAGTGTGGTTAAGGCTTTAGTCAGCCAGAATTTCAGTGCTGTTGCTTTCTAGGTATATGTCCTTGAAGAGGTTTTTTAATTTCTCTAAATTCCCGGTAGCTCATATTCAACATGGGGAAACGCCTCATCATGGGATTATTATGAGGATCTAAAGAACCCAGCATTTTCTTGGTGGGGCCACTTTGAGAAATATATATATATAAAATGTTTAGAAAAGGAAATTTGTCTAGAGTTATAACTTTATTAGTAGTATCAAAAATATATAATGTATAGATCCTAAATGTATTTTCTAAGGTGCCAAGTAGAGAATCATTCCATAAAATATGGTTTATTATTACAGTAGAGGATCATATAACTGAAAATGACAGATATAAGGAAATAAATACAATTTACCCTGCACTTTATAAGCTAATTTTAGCTGACTGAACATTTCACAGACAACAGAGTCAAATGACACAAAGGTTATAAGCGTCATAAAGCATTTTGTGAGCAGTGGAATCAATTTTTAAGGCATATATTTGTGGCATATATTTGTAATCATGGTGATAACATGTACTGTCATTTGCAGTTCACAGAGTCCTTTATAACTATCATCCACTTAATTTTCACAGTGATGCTAGAATGAAATGTTATTCCTTTTATCTCACTTCTAAATTTTATATCCTTCCCATGTTAAACTAAAGTGAGAGATTAGTGGATTAATCTCTTAGAGAATTTAGAAAAATTAATGATTATTATTTTGGAATAGTCTATAGGACAATGTCAAACTAATGGAAAATTAACTATAATACAGCACATATGTTGCATTCATGAATTATAATTATGATCAATCAGCTATATTACCTCTTATCATTTTATAATAGCTATGCATTCTTATTATATTTTATTGAAATTCTAGATTCGAGAAAATTTTTAAATGCTAGGCATATAATTAAACAGCTTGCTGGCTGGGGATGTAGCTCAGTGGTGCCGCAGCTGCCTTGCAAGCTCAAGGTCCTGAGTTCAATCCCTGGTACCAAAAATATAAAAATACAAATAAAGTAAACAACTTGTGACCTGACTGACATTCACTTGATAAAATGTTTGTATGAGTTATTTTGTATGTGGTTAAAGATTAGCTATAGTCATTACTTCAGGTGAAATTGTCTTTTATGGTATACAACTGAGTCTGTAAGATGTTTCTTTTCAGGGCCAGGGTGTAGTATATTGGTAGAGTGTTGCATAGGAGCCCAAGACCTTAGGGCTGATCCCCAGTACCCCCAAAATTTCAAAAGATGGAGGGAAAAAATGCCAAGGATTTATTTGCTCCAAATTTTCTACTTATATGGTTTTATCCTAAGCAGGAGCTAGATTATATATGTAAACCAGATAGACATAATGTTACCTGTTACTGCTACTGTTTTGTTTTGGGCTGTTATTTTTGTGTGTTTTTGGTACCTGCCATGTAGGTAATATTTTTTAAAGGAATGTTTTGAAGTAACCATCAGTGAGCTCACCCCCCAACATGGCGGCGGCGGTAGATTAGAGCCGCGGGTCGAAGCAGCCACCGCCGCTGGGGGACCCTGTCGGAAGCAACTGCTGTCGCCGCCGCCGCCTCTTTCATCTCTTCTGGGGCAGGGGCCAGGGCCAGGTCTGACACATCTGTAAGTAGACCTCTTGGGGACTCTGCGAGCCAAATCAATGGCATCTTCTACTACAGTACCTCTAGGATTTCACTGTGAAACAAAGTATGTCATTCTCAGCTACTTGGGACTCCTCTCTCAGGAGAAGCTACAAGTGCAACGGCTTCCCTTACCCCAAGGGATTCAACTAGATGTAGCTTCACAATCTCTGGACCCAGAAGCTTTATTGAAAGTTAAATCTGAAATTGAAGAAGAGCTAAAATCCCTGGACAAAGAAATTTCTGAAGCCTTCACCAGCACAGGCATTGATCATTACACTTCTCCCGTGTTCAGCCCTGCTAACCCAGAAAGCTCAATGGAAGATTGCTTGGCCCATCTTGGAGAGAGAGTGTCCCAAGAACTGAAAGAACCTCTGCATAAAGCATTGCAAATACTCCTCAGCCAGCCAGTGACATATCAGGCATATCGAGAATGTATACTGGAGACTGCAGTTCATGACGGTGGCTGGAATAAGATTTTGGTGCCTCTGATTTTGTTACAACAAATGCTTTTGGAGTTGACAAGACATGGTCAAGAGCCTTTGAGTGCATTGCTGCAGTTTGGCGTGACATATCTGGAGGACCATGCAGCAGAGTACATCATTCAGCAAGATGGCTGGGGCACTGTCTTCAGTCTTGAGTCCGAGGAGAAGGAGTATCCTGGCATCGCTGCAGAAGACAGCAATGACATTTACATCCTGCCCAGTGACAACTCTGGACAAGTCAGCCCCCCAGAGTCTCCAACCGTAACAACCTCTTGGCAGTCAGAAAGCCTGCCTGTCTCAATGTCAGCGAGCCAGAGCTGGCATACAGAAAGCCTCCCAGTGTCCCTCGGCCCTGAGTCCTGGCAGCAGATTGCAATGGATCCTGAAGAAGTCAAAAGCTTGGATAGCAACGGAGCTGGAGAGAAGAGTGAGAACAACTCTTCCAACTCTGATATTGTGCATGCAGAGAAAGAAGAGATCCCTGAGGGTGCGGAGGAGGTGGCCAGGGCTGCTTCTTCTGCCTTCCCTACCAGGGAGCCACAAGAGGCTTTGCCCGGAGCCCCTGCTCCCTTGCTTCCACACATCACTGCCACTTCTTTGCTGCAGACAAGGGAACCTGACCCAGAAGTGATCACAATTGAGGAAGTCAGCACTGCTCTGACTCTGTTCGTAGAACTCAGTGAAGAAGAGGTGAGAGCAGCCACCATGGAGCCTCATGAAGTGGATGAGGGGGTGCCCCCTTCACTGCTGAGGGAAAAGGAGGACCCTGTGAGGAAGGAGAGGCTCAGGAGGGAGTGCCCCCCTGCCCAGGAGGTGAAGGCCCTCCTCGTGCCTGAGGGCAAGTCTATACTGCTCTTCGGAGGGGCTGCTGCCGTGGCCCTCCTGGCAGTGGCAGTTGGGGTCGCTCTGGCTCTGAGAAGAAAATAGTGGCTTTTTCAGAAGAGAAAGAAGATGAAAAGGGTCTAAGGTTTTAGTTGTATTAGCTGGAATTTGAGCTGCCAGCATCTGATTGGACATTTATGGAACACGCTGAGAGAATTGGAGATGTCTGCTCAACAAGCAGTGGCCTGACCCACACACTGGGGCCAGTGGTAGATAGAGTGCATTCACTATGATCTCATCGTCAGTTCCAAGGGCCTTGGCTCATGCTAGACTCAGAATCATGACTAAAGTACTCCCTGTAGAACAGGGTTTCTTGGCGTTTCGATGCTCCCCTGTTAGAGAGGCTCCTGTGCACTGGAGGATGTCAGCAACGTCCCTGGCCTCTGCCCACTAGATGCTGGTAGCACCCCGTCCCAATGAGGAAACCAAAAATGTCTCAGACATTGCCACATGTCCCCTGTGAGCAAAGTCACCCCCTGTGGAGGTCCACTGCTTTAGAGGGAGAGGGTTACTTTTGGGAAACCCAGGGTACAAACTCCCAGGCTTAGCTGTGGGTTTGGTCTGTCCTGATGAACGGCCTGTGTTCCGCAGCAGCTCCTCTTTTGCCTCCTCTTCCCCCACCATCCTGTAGTGTAAGGGCGCTGTCCTTGTGTCACATCACCCCACAGGCACTGCGCTGCTCTTCTCCCCATGTTCCCCACCGGTCCGTGGGAGAGGGGTCGTCCGCCCGATTCCTCCACCGTGCCCGATGAGCCCCCCCGAGGCTTCCAGCAGCTTCACTTTGCAGAGCTGCTGCCTTTATGAATCTTGAAAAAATTAAATACATAGACAGTAACAAAAAACCAGGCCCAGGGTTCCCTAACCTGTAAGTTACTGGCTGCAGAGACATCTGTCTTTAGAGGCGGGGGTGGTGACCCGACCAGGGGGCCTCTTCAAGCCCTTTTTGTCACGGTCACCCCACTTGCCTGTAGTGACTGGCTTGCCAGCACCTCGGGGGTCGTGTGCTGCTGTCTGGCCCTGGGTCAGTACATTCCAGTATCTGGCCTGTCCCAGGACTGGTCGTCCAGCTCTGTGGGTCTCTTATTACGTGGTAAGTGAGGATTGTCGTCCTCAGACTTACAGAGAGAATTGGGACATATTAACTGTGCTATCATTGAAATAAAATGATAAATATTTTATCAATCCCAAATATCACTGAAATTTAAAGTGAGAATAAAAAGCTTAAACTTTAAGTCTGAGGCTACTGTGAGGTTCTAGTTTGGCCTTCAGAGTACGGAGGCCTCTTCACCTGAATTCTTCATGGCCCAGATGCCAAGGGAAAGAAGCTGGAGGGACCCAGGCCACTGTACAGTTGAGGGGCAGCATGGCTGATCCCACCCCTCAGGAGGGGTGGGCTGTGTCCTTTCACACCTGAGGGGCACAGTGACTCTGCAGGGCCCACAAGCTTGATAAGAAGTCATCTCAGATTTATCCTAGTCAATGTAACAAATTACTTTTTAGATCCTGAAATTTATAATAAAAATACTTTACCTACCCTGATCACCAAAAAAGAAAAAAAGAAAAAGAAATGACCATCAATAAAGTACCAAATTTGACCTCTTTAATTTTCTTAAGTTAAATAAAGTTATTTAATTATGCTTCTAACAAAGTGTCTTTTGTCCTTTCTCACAGCTATTAATTGATGGCAAAGTTGTTTTGGCTTTACTTAGCTATATTAAAAAGCCTGAGAAACACAAAGTAATGGAATGGTCTGCCGCACAGTACGAAGAATTACAACTGCATGCAATTGCGACTTTGTCGTCAGTTGCTCCCTTGTTAATAGAAGAGTACCTGTCATGCCAGGGAAACGCTCGAGTCCTGGCATTTCTAGAATGGTGTGAGAGTGAAGGTAAGGCACTTCAGGAGTCTTGTCCAAAGCTGAATCTACCTATTTACTGAATTCTCAATATATATAAAGTTAAAGTAAAGAGAAATAAAAATACTTAACTCTGTCCTCCTTTTAATATTAAAAACAAACACTGAGATTTCAAAATCAGATTTTAGTAAATGTTATAACAATAGTTGATACGTGCCTAAATCATACATGTAAATTGATTTAAATTTTTGTTCTGTTAGGCCTATCCAAAACTTATATTAAGAAGAAAATAAATACTGGCAATGTTTTAGTGCATTCATTCGACAAATGTTTCCTAACTGTTTCTACTAGCTACCAGATACTGTTTTAGCTGCAGAAAATACATTTATGTTTAAAATAAAAATCCTTACCTTCATGGAGCTTAAACTTTAGATCTCTAGCCAGAAGTAATAACTCCATATGTAATCTACCAAGTTAGCAGAGCTTAGTGTGTATTACTATAGTATTTCTTGGGAAGGAAATACATATACTCACATATTTAAAAATTTATCAGAAAGATACTATTTTTTTCTGATAGTAATTTTTTTCTCAAATAATTTTGTATGATACATTTTCATAAGATCAAGAATAGCCAGGTGTGCTGATATGTGTATGTGTGTACTGCCAGCTAATTGGCAGGCTGAGGCAAGAGGATCACTTGAACTCATGAGTTTGAGGCCAGGCTGGGAAACAGAACTCACATCAAAAAAGAATATTCTTTATTATTTATGGCACTCGTGTCCAAAAAAGGAAAGGGATCCAGAGATGGATGGAGCGGGACAGGGAGAAGGGAAAGAGGATTTAAAACAATTAAGATATATTATGTACATGGAACAAGTCCCCACAAAAATGTAATCATTATGTATTACATACATGCACCAATAAAAAAATTTAAAAACAGTATTATTCAGGGGCCAGGGATTTAACTCAGTTGTTCCAGCACCTGCCTCGCAAGCACAAGATCCTGAGTTCGATCTCTGGTACCAAAAAACAAAACAAACAAACAAACAAAAAACCCAGTATTATTCATTTATCCATGAAGCAGATAAAAAATTTTAGCCATTTTATTTTCTAGTTTCTAGTATATGGAGATACTAAATTTAGTGTTGTTACTTTTCACTAAATAAAACAATTATTTGTCTATACTTTTCATCATTTATGTTTACAGAATACTGCAAGACAAAAGTGAAAATAAGTACAAATAGCTACTGAGCACAAATAGCTAACAATTGTTGAGTATCTACTATATGCTAGGTCTTAAACACCTTATAAGTATTACTCATTCATTTAGTCCTCCTGAAAAACCAGGAGACATAAGTGCTATTATTGCTAGTTTGTTATGGGTAGAACTGAATTATTGAAATTAAATAACTTGTTCTTGGCCTCATTGTAAATAGCAAACCAAAGATTTAATTCAGGTTCCAAAACCCACATATTTAACCAACACACAATACTCAGGACAGTACAGTATTTGAAACTTTTTAACTTTCAACATAAAGCTACTTCTTAAAGAAACTTTTAAAGAAAGCTTCAGGAAGGGAAGACTTGCCTTGCTTTTTTATTAAGCTATAGTAAATAATTTTTCATATACTCATAGTAATGAAAAGTATGTGGTACTGAAGGGAATATATGGAACATTGGCGTTTTCGAAGATGATTTTGCCAATCAGTGAGAGAAAGACATCGAATAGTTATTGTCAATGTAAAAATGGGAAAATTAGATCATTCCACTTTAACAAGAAGACCAACTGCAAAATGAGTTAAAGACTTAAATATGTAAAGTTAAACTGTAAAACTTTTGGAAGGAAACATGAGAAAATATCTTTATGATAGATATCAGTATTGGAAAAGATTTCTTTAAAAAGACTTAATAAGTTCAAGCTATACAGGGAAAACTGATGTGTTTGACAATTGTAGAACTTTAAAATGTATGACAAAATCTGGATAAAATATAATCTACAGTTTGAGAGAAGACATTTACTACCCCTGTAACTGATCAAGAATTAAAATCTAACCTGCAGGTCCTATTCCTGTGTAAGAATAGGCCAGGACTGGGAATGTAGCTCAGTGGTTGAACACTTGCCTAGTATGCACAAGGCCTTTGGTTGGATCCCTAGAATCATCCCAGTGCCCCCCTAAAAAATGTATATGATAAAGATATCCAAAGTACTTGTGAAGTTATCATAGAATATTTATTAGTTATCTATGTAAAATGCCTAAGTTTAAAACATAAATCATCAGTACCTAGAACTTACGTAGTTGTCTATTAAATGAATGTTTTTAGGATTTGCAAATCCTATCTATGTTCCCTCAGTTTAAAAATTTAAAAATACAATCAGGGAGTATTTCTGCACAGGCAAGTAACATTTTGGTTAATTTTAAATGAAAGACCAAACTCTTTCAAGTAGGGATAAGTAGATTTAAATTATGTAACAGAACATTAAGGTTCTGTATGCCTTTGGACAAGCTGGCCTATTTTTTTTTTTATTTTTTTTTTTT